CCCAGTTGAGCCCACCACCCTCCCAGAGCTTGGCCACTGGACCTGGATGTCTGGGTGCCCAGTTCCTCCCAGTTGAGCCCACCACCCCACTCACCTTCCCCAGTATCTTCTTCCAGTACTGCCGCCAGAGGATGAGGAAGATGACGCCCAATAGGAGCAAGATGATGGCCACCAGGCAGCCAATCAGGATGGAGGTGTGGCTGTGGTCAGCTTTGGCCACTGGCTGCCCTGGTTTGGGCTCCCCGGGGGCTGCCATGTTTGGGGGGGGGGCGGTGGTGGGCAGGGTGCCACCATGGCCCCACCCCCTCACATCCCGCCCTGTTAAGCCCCTCCCCTTTAAGCCCCGCCCCATTAAGCCCCACCTTACCTGGGGTAGTGAGGTTGGTAGCCACGCCCCCGTGCCAGGAGCCCTCAGGGACGGCCATGACCCCCGCCGAGGGGTCAGGGGGGGCGGCTGGGGGCCACCCACTGGCACCCCCCGCCTCCTCCACCACATCTGCAGGGAGAGAGCCCCACGGCGCCTTAACGAGGCAGCTAACGAGGGCGGGGGCAGTGGGCAACGCACTCCAGCAAACCGCCTTCCCATTGGCCAACAGGTCAACCAACCAGCTCGCGGGGTGGTTGACCAAGCCATCACTCAACCAGCCTTGGCCTAGTCCAACCAACTAGTCCAACGACCAACCAGTTGTCCAACTGGCCAACCAACCCGTTCTTCTGCTCACCAACCAATCACATGGTGACCCAAACATCTAACCAGTCACCCCATCATCCAACTAACTGGGCAACCAGTAACCAGCTGATCACCCTTGGACTGGTCAACAGCCAACCAGCTGATGATCCAGTCCTGCATCCAACCAACCATCTCACCACCCGGCCAGGTCAGTAGTCAACCAGCCAATCAACCAGTCTCCCAGCCAGATCTTAGACTGGTCAACCAGCATCCAACCAGTCAACCTCCCCGTTATCCACCCAACCATCCCATCACCCAACCATCCAACCCATCATCCACCCAACCATCCCATCTTCCACCCAACCACGCCACCATCCACCCAACCATCCCATCACCCAACCAACCATGCCATCACCCAACCATGCCATTGCCCAACCAACCACCCCATCACCCATCCATCCTACCCATCACCCAACTGATGACCCCATCACTCAACCAACGACCCCATCACCCAACCAACCGCCACATCACCCAACCAATGACCACATCAGCCAACGAAACACCCCATCATCCAACCAACAACACCATCACTCAACCGATGACCCCATCACTCAACCAATGACCCCATCACCCAACCAACCACCCCATCACCCAACCAACCACCACATCACCCAACCAATGACCACATCAGCCAACGAAACACCCCATCATCCAACCAACAACACCATCACTCAACCGATGACCCCATCACTCAACCAATGACCCCATCACCCAACCAACCACCCCATCACCCAACCAACCACCACATCACCCAACCAATGACCACATCAGCCAACGAAACACCCCATCATCCAACCAACCACCCCATCCCCCAACCAACCACCCCATCCCCCAACCAACCACCCCATCCCCCAACCAACCACCCCACCCCCCAACAATCCGCCCCATCACCCAACCAATGACCACATCAGCCAACTAACCTTCCCATCATTCACCCATCCAACCCAAGAGCCAACCCACTGGGAGAGGACACCAACGTTCAGGTAGGTCTGGAGATCCTTTGCCGTGGTAGGACTCACCTGAGAGGAAGGTGACCTCACTGAAGAGCATCCACTCCCCGGTGAAGAAGAAGTGACACTGGATGAAGCGGGCCTGGCGCCCCCCCAAGGGCACAGTGACCGAGCGGGCGCTGGGGTCCTTGACGGCCCCACCCAGGCTGTGGGTGACCGGGGTGGGCTCCCAGGCCGTGGCCAAGCTCCTCTTGAAGCGACACTCCACCTCCCCGAAGATGCTCACCCCCCGCGTGTGCATGTTGTTGCAGTGAACCTGGGGAGGGGGTGGGTGATGGGTCACCATCCCATGATGCCCTGGGGCAGCTGAGGTTGGGGGGGGGTTGTTAAGCCAAAGGGTCTCCAAAATGGGAAGTTCCAGACCCTTGACGTGGTGGCCCCTCATGGGTCCATGCCATGGATGACCAATCCCACAATGCCCTGGGACAGACCCCCTGCCCAAACCTCCATGACGCCCTGGGGCACCCATTGCCCTCACTCCCATGATCCCTTGGGGCCCTCTACTGCCCACCATCCCCTGCTCCCCAGCCCCCCAACGCAATGCCCTAGGTCACCCCCTTTCCCACCACGCCCCCCTCTCCCGCTATCCCAGCATGCCGCGGGGCACCTGCATGGCGCTGAAGGCCCGGAGACCCTCGAACTCGAACTCCAGCTCCACGTGGGGGCGGGGGCCGGGGGGGCGGTGCCACCCCACGTAGTCGTAGCCCGGCCACAGGCGTCGCTCGCGGCTCCTCATGAAGTCGTCCAACCCCAGCACCCCGTCCGTCAGCTGGCCCAGCCCCCCAAACTGCAGCCTGGGGGGGGCAGGGGACACCTGGATGGCTTGGTCCCTCCATCCCACCCACCTGGGAACCCCCCATGGGGCATGTTGGGGGTCAAGGGGTCTCTGGATGCCTGGGTCCCTCCATCCCACCCAATTGGGAATGTCCTATGGGGCAGCTTGGTAGGTCAAGGGGTCCCTGGACACCTGGGTCCTTCCATCGCACCCACTTGGGAACCCCCCATGGGGCAGCCTGGGGGGGTCAAGGGGTCCCTAGATGCCTGGGTCCCTCCATCCCACCCACTTGTGAATCCCTCATGGGGCAGGGTAGGGGGTGAAGGGCCTCCTGGATGTCTGGTCCCTCCATCCTTCCCCCCATGGGGCAGCCTGGGGGGGTCAAGGAGTCCCTGGATGCCTGGGTCCCTCTGTCCCACCCACCCCTGGGGGTGGTTTGGAGACACCTGGAGATGGCCAGGGTTGGTTGGGGACACTTGGGGACAGTTTGAGGACATCTGGGGAGGTCCAGGGACAGCCTGGGGACAGGTTGGGGACACTTGGGGATGGTGTGGAGACACTTGGAGGTGGCCAAAGCTGGTTGGGGACACCTGGGGACAGTTTGAGGACCACTGGGGACATCTGCGAAGGTCCAGGAGCAGCTGGACACAGTTTGGGGACATTTGGGGATGGTCTGGGGACACTTGAGAATAGTTGAGGACAGTTTGGGACCAACTGGGTGCAACTCTCTTGGGGCTGGTTGGTGTAGGTGACCTTTGGGGACAGTTGGGGACATCTGGGATCTGGGAACCCCGCCATGGGGCAGGGTGGAGGGTGAAGTGGCTCCTGGACACTTGGATCCCTCCATCCTTCCCCCCATGGGGCAGCCTGGGGGAGTCAAGGGGTCCCCGGATGCCTGGGTCCCTCCATCCCACCCACTTGGGAACCTCCTGTGGGGTAGTCTGGTGGGTCAAGGGGTCCCTGGACACCTGGGTCCCTCCATTACACCCACTTGGAAACCCCCCATGGGGCATGTTGGGGGGTGAAGGGGCTCCTGGACACCTGGGTCCCTCTGTCCCACCCATCTGGGAACCCCACCATGGGGCAGGGAGGAGGGTGAAGTGGCTCCTGGACACTTGGGTCCCTCCATCCTTCCCCCCATGGGGCATCTTGGTAGGTCAAGGGGTCCCCAGATGCTTGGGTCCCTCCATCGCACCCCACCATGGGACAGCCTGGGGGGTCAAGAGGTTCCCCAACACCTGAGTCCCTTCATCCCACCCACTTGGGAACCCCCCATGGGGCATGTTGGGGGGTGAAGAGGCTCCTGGACACCTGGGTCCCTCCATCCCACCCACCTGGGACACCCTCCCCATGGGATCCAGAGCACAATTTGGGGGCAATGGGGGCTGTTTTGGGGACAGTTGGGAACATTGGGGTCAACTGGGGCCAGATGGGACAATCTGGGGACAGTCTGAGGGTCTTTTGGGACAGTGGGTGACAGTTTGGGCCAGAAGGTGACAATTTGGGGACATTTTGGGCTATTTGGGGACAGTTGAGGACAGCAAGGGATAAGTGGGGACTGCTTTGAGCCAGTGGTTGACCATCTGGGGACACTTTGGGGTCATTTGGGGACAGTGGTGGATGGTTGGGGATGATCTGGGGACAGTTGGAGCCTGTTTGGAGATGGTTGGGACAGATGGAGATGGCCAAGGACAGTTTGGGGGACACCCAACTGGGGCCAGATGGGACAATCTGGGGACGGTCTGAGGGTCTTTTGGGACAGTGGGAGACAGTTTGGGCTGGTTTGGGCCAGAAAAGGACAATTTGGGGACAGTTGAGGACAGCAGAGAACAATATGGGGCTGCTTTGAGTCAACCATGGGACAGCCTGGGGGGTCAAGAGGTTCCCCAACACCTGAGTCCCTTCATCCCACCCACTTGGGAACCCCCCATGGGGCATGTTGGGGGGTGAAGAGGCTCCTGGACACCTGGGTCCCTCCATCCCACCCACCTGGGACACCCTCCCCATGGGATCCAGAGCACAATTTGGGGGCAATGGGGGCTGTTTTGGGGACAGTTGGGAACATTGGGGTCAACTGGGGCCAGATGGGACAATCTGGGGACAGTCTGAGGGTCTTTTGGGACAGTGGGTGACAGTTTGGGCCAGAAGGTGACAATTTGGGGACATTTTGGGCTATTTGGGGACAGTTGAGGACAGCAAGGGATAAGTGGGGACTGCTTTGAGCCAGTGGTTGACCATCTGGGGACACTTTGGGGTCATTTGGGGACAGTGGTGGATGGTTGGGGATGATCTGGGGACAGTTGGAGCCTGTTTGGAGATGGTTGGGACAGATGGAGATGGCCAAGGACAGTTTGGGGGACACCTGGGGGTGGTTTGGAGACACCTGGAGATGGCCAGGGCTGGTTGGGGACACTTGGGGACAGTTTGAGGACATCTGGGGAGGTCCAGGGACAGCCTGGGGACAGGTTGGGGACACTTGGGGATGGTGTGGAGACACTTGGAGGTGGCCAAAGCTGGTTGGGGACACCTGGGGACAGTTTGAGGACCACTGGGGACATCTGCGAAGGTCCAGGAGCAGCTGGACACAGTTTGGGGACATTTGGGGATGGTCTGGGGACACTTGAGAATAGTTGAGGACAGTTTGGGACCAACTGGGTGCAACTCTCTTGGGGCTGGTTGGTGTAGGTGACCTTTGGGGACAGTTGGGGACATCTGGGTACTCACGGGCCAACGCTGTATCCATCGTAGGTGGAGTCATTGAGGACGACGGGTGCGGGGTCAAGGGCCATCACCTGTCCCCGTGGCGCCGTGTAGGACAGGAGCCCGGCTGAGGACAGGGGACCCAGTGGTTGACCATCTGGGGACACTTTGGGGTCATTTGGGGACAGTGGTGGATGGTTGGGGATGATCTGGGGACAGTTGGAGCCTGTTTGGAGATGGTTGGGACAGATGGAGATGGCCAAGGACAGTTTGGGGGACACCTGGGGGTGGTTTGGAGACACCTGGAGATGGCCAGGGCTGGTTGGGGACACTTGGGGACAGTTTGAGGACATCTGGGGAGGTCCAGGGACAGCCTGGGGACAGGTTGGGGACACTTGGGGATGGTGTGGAGACACTTGGAGGTGGCCAAAGCTGGTTGGGGACACCTGGGGACAGTTTGAGGACCACTGGGGACATCTGTGAAGGTCCAGAAGCAGCTGGACACAGTTTGGGGACATTTGGGGATGGTTTGGGGACGCTTGAGGATGGTTGAGGACAGTTTGGGGCCAAATGAGTGCAAGTCTCCTGGGGCTGGTTGGTGCAGGTGACCTTTGGGGACAGTTGGGGACATCTGGGTACTCACGGGCCAACGCTGTATCCATCGTAGGTGGAGTCATTGAGGACAACGGGTGCGGGGTCAAGGGCCATCACCTGTCCCCGTGGCGCCGTGTAGGACAGGAGCCCGGCTGGGGACAGGGGACATGTCACCATGGGGCCACCATGGGGTTGGGTGAGGGACATGGGGATGGGGACTCACCACCCTGGGGACACCCTCACCATGGAGTTGGGCGAGGGACGTGGGGATGGGGAACCACCACCCTGGGGACACCCTCATTATGGGGTTGGGTGAAGGACGTGGAGATGGGGAACCACCACCCTGGGGACACCCTCACTATGGGGTTGGGTGAGGGACATGGAGGTGGGGAACCACAACCCTGGGGACACCCGCACTATGGGGGGAACCACCACCCTGGGGACACCCTCACCATGGGGTTGAATGAGCCTGGACACCTGGGTCCCTCCATCCCACCCACCTGGGACACCCTCCCCATGGGATCCAGAGCACAATTTGGGGGCAATGGGGGCTGTTTTGGGGACAGTTGGGAACATTGGGGTCAACTGGGGCCAGATGGGACAATCTGGGGACAGTCTGAGGGTCTTTTGGGACAGTGGGTGACAGTTTGGGCCAGAAGGTGACAATTTGGGGACATTTTGGGCTATTTGGGGACAGTTGAGGACAGCAAGGGATAAGTGGGGACTGCTTTGAGCCAGTGGTTGACCATCTGGGGACACTTTGGGGTCATTTGGGGACAGTGGTGGATGGTTGGGGATGATCTGGGGACAGTTGGAGCCTGTTTGGAGATGGTTGGGACAGATGGAGATGGCCAAGGACAGTTTGGGGGACACCTGGGGGTGGTTTGGAGACACCTGGAGATGGCCAGGGCTGGTTGGGGACACTTGGGGACAGTTTGAGGACATCTGGGGAGGTCCAGGGACAGCCTGGGGACAGGTTGGGGACACTTGGGGATGGTGTGGAGACACTTGGAGGTGGCCAAAGCTGGTTGGGGACACCTGGGGACAGTTTGAGGACCACTGGGGACATCTGTGAAGGTCCAGAAGCAGCTGGACACAGTTTGGGGACATTTGGGGATGGTTTGGGGACGCTTGAGGATGGTTGAGGACAGTTTGGGGCCAAATGAGTGCAAGTCTCCTGGGGCTGGTTGGTGTAGGTGACCTTTGGGGACAGTTGGGGACATCTGGGTACTCACGGGCCAACGCTGTATCCATCGTAGGTGGAGTCATTGAGGACGACGGGTGCGGGGTCAAGGGCCATCACCTGTCCCCGTGGCGCCGTGTAGGACAGGAGCCCGGCTGAGGACAGGGGACATGTCACCACGGGGCCACCATGGGGTTGGGTGAGGGACATGGGGATGGGGAACCACCACCATGGGGACACCCTCACCATGGAGTTGGGCGAGGGACGTGGGGATGGGGAACCACCACCCTGGGGACACCCTCACTATGGGGTTGGGTGAGGGACATGGAGGTGGGGAACCACCACCCTGGGGACACCATCACTATGGGGGTTGGATGAGGGACATGGGGATGGGGACTCACCACCCTGGGGACACCCTCACCATGGGGTTGGGTGAGGGATGTGGGGATGGGGAACCACCACCCTGGGGACACACTCACTATGGAGTTGTGTGAAGGACGTGGAGATGGGGAACCACCACCCTGGAGACACCCTCACCATGGGGTTGGGTGAGGGACGTGGAGATGGGGAACCACCACCCTGGGGACACCCTCACTATGGGGTTGAATGAGGGATGTGGGCCCACCACCCTGGGGACACCTTCACCATGAGGTTGAGTGAGGGACATGGGGATGGGAACCACCACCCTGGGGACACCCTCACCATGGGGTTGGATGAGGGACATGGGGATGGGGAACCACCACCCTGGGGACACCCTCACTATGGAGTTGGGCGAGGGACGTGGGGATGGGGAACCACCACCCTGGGGACATCCTCACCATGGGTTTGGGTGAGGGACATGGGGATGGGGACTCACCACCCTGGGGACACCCTCACCATGGAGTTGGACGAGGGATGTGGAGATGGGGAACCACCACCCTGGGGACATCCTCACCATGGGGTTGGGTGAGGGACGTGGGGATGGGGAACCACCACCCTGGGGGCACACTCACCATGGTGTTGGGTGAAGGACATGGAGATGGGGAACCACCACCCTGGGGACACCCTCACCATGGGGTTGGGTGAGGGACGTGGGGATGGGGAACCACCACCCTGGGGACATCCTCACTATGGAGTTGTGTGAGGGACGTGGGGATGGGGAACCACCACCCTGGGGACACCCTCATTATGGGGTTGGGCGAGGGACGTGGGGACGGGGACTCACCACCCTGGGGACAACCTCACTATGGGGTTGGGCGAGGGACGTGGGGATGGGGACCCACCACCCTGGGGACACCCTCACTATGGAGTTGGGTGAAGGACGTGGGGATGGGGAACCACCACCCTGGGGACATCCTCACCATGGGGTTGGATGAGGGACATGGGGATGGGGAACCACCACCCTGGGAACACCCTCACCATGGGGTTGGGTGAGGGACGTGGGGATGGGGAACCACCACCCTGGGGACACCATCACCATGGGGTTGGATGAGGGACATGGGGATGGGGAACCACCACCCTGGGGACACCCTCACCATGGAGTTGGGTGAGGGACGTGGGGATGGGGAACCATCACCCTGGGGACACACTCACCATGGGGTTGGGGGAGGGACGTGGGGATGGGGAACCACCACCCTGGGGACACCCTCACCATGGGGTTGGGTGAAGGACATGGAGATGGGGACTCACCACCCCGGGGACACCCTCATTATGGGGTTGGGCGAGGGACGTGGGGACGGGGACTCACCACCCTGGGGACAACCTCACTATGGAGTTGGGTGAAGGATGTGGAGATGGGAACCCACCACCCTGGGGACACCCTCACCATGGAGTTGGGCGAGGGACGTGGGGACAGGGACTCACCACCCTGGGGACAACCTCACTATGGAGTTGGGTGAAGGATGTGGAGATGGGAACCCACCACCCTGGGGACACCCTCACCATGGAGTTGGATGAGGGACATGGGGATGGGGAATCACCACCCTGGGGACCCCCTTGGCGGTTGCTGATGGGGTGGCCCTGGGAGCTGATGAGGGGGTGATGGGGTGGGATGGAGGTGATGGGGGGCTGCCGGGGGGAGGTGACAAGGTGGCCCTCACCGTCCCAGGGGCAGCCGTAGAGCTCCAGGCGCAGGCAGACGCTCATGGCGCGGGGGGCCCGGGGGTAGACACGCAGCGCCCGGGCCACGGGTGGGGGCGCCAGGTCCTTCAGCACCACCCCCTCGGGGTCCTCGTTGCCCCCGATCACCTGCGGCACCGGGATCAAGATGGGATCCACTCCAGGATGAAGGTCCCACCTCTGGGGACCTCCCCAGTGGCCCCATGAGATTCCCGGCCCCCCATGAGCCCCAGGGATCCCGTTGACCTCCTGGGATCTCCCAAGGATCCCATTGGTTCTTGAGATCCCACTGCCCTCCCAAGGATCCCCAGGGATCTACCAGGGATCTACCAAGGATCCCATTGGTCCCCAAGGTCCCAGGGATCCCTGCCCTCCCAGGGATCTCCCAGGGTTTCCCCCCCCCACCCCCAGGATCTCAGTGTCCCCAGGGATCCCATTGACCTCTTGGGATCTCCCAAGGATCCCATTGTCCTCCAGGATCCCACTGCTCTCCCAGGGATCCCCAGGAATCTTCCAGTGTCCCCAGGGATCCCATTGTCCTTGGGATCTCCCAGGGATCCCATTGTCCCCCAGGATCCCACTGTGTCCTCCCAGTGTCCCCAGGAATCCCATTGTCCTCCTGGGATCTGCCAAGGATCCCATTGTCCCTCAAGATCCCACTGTGTCCTCCCAGGGATCCCCAAGGATCCCAATGGCCCCTCAGGATCTCCCAAGGATCCCATTGACCCCCAAGATCCCACTGTGTCCTCCCAGTGTCCCCAGGAATCCCATTGTCATCCTGGGATCTCCCAAGGATCCCATTGTCCCTCAAGATCCCACTGTGTCCTCCCAGTGTCCCCAGGGATCCCATTGTCCTCCTGGGATCTCCCAAGGATCCCATTGTCCCTCAAGATCCCACTGTGTCCTCCCAGGGATCCCCAGGGATCCCAATGACCCCTCAGGATCTCCCAAGGATCCCATTGACCCCCAAGATCCCACTGTGTCCTCCCAGTGTCCCCAGGAATCCCATTGTCCTCCTGGGATCTCCCAAGGATCCCATTGACCCCCAAGATCCCACTGTGTCCTCCCAGCGTCCCCTGGGATCCCAATGACCCCTCAGGATCTCCCAAGGATCCCATTGGCCCCCAAGATCCCACTGCCCTCCCAATGATCCCCAGGGATCTCCCAGGATCCCCCACTGTCCCCTCCTGCATCCCAGTGCCCTCCCAGAGATCCCAGGGATCAGCATCCCAAGGTCTCCAAGTAATCCCATGTCACCTTGGCACCTCCATGTCCCCAAGGTGTCCCCGAGGTGTCCCATGGCACCTCAACATCCCTAAGGTCCCCAAGATCCCTGATCACCTCAACACCCCAACATCCCCAAGGTCCCAAAGATGTCCCCTGATGTCCCCAAGGTCCCTGGTCACCTCAGCGCCCCACCATCCCCAAAGTCCCCAAGATGTCCCCAAGGTCCCTGGTCACCTCAGCGCCCCACCATCCCCAAAGTCCCCAAGATGTCCCCAAGGTCCCTGGTCACCTCAGCGCCCCACCATCCCCAAAGTCCCCAAGATGTCCCCAAGGTCCCTGGTCACCTCAGCGCCCCACCATCCCCAAAGTCCCCAAGATGTCCCCAAGGTCCCTGGTCACCTCAGCGCCCCACCATCCCCAAAGTCCCCAAGATGTCCCCAAGGTCCCTGGTCACCTCAGCGCCCCACCATCCCCAAAGTCCCCAAGATGTCCCCAAGGTCCCTGGTCACCTCAGCGCCCCACCATCCCCAAAGTCCCCAAGATGTCCCCAAGATCCCTGGTCACATCAACGCCCCAAGATCCCCAAGGTCCCCAAGATGTCCCTAATGTCCCCGGTCACCTCAACACCCCAACAGCCCCAATGTCCCCAAGATGTCAACGGGACCCGCGGGACACCAGGCACCGTCCCCATCGCTGCGACCCAGCCTGGGGACAAGGGGACGTCCTGGGGACACCTGGGGGCACCAGGTGCTGTCCCCATCGCTGTGGAAGTCCCCAAGATGTCCCCAGGGTCCCTGGTTGCATCAACACCCCAAGATCCCCAAAGTTCCCAAGGTCCCTGGTCACATCAACGCCCCAAGATCCCCAAGGTCCCCAAGATGTCCCTAATGTCCCCAGTCACCTCAACACCCCAACACCCCCAATGTCCCCAAGATGTCCCCAAGGTCCCCACTCACCTCAGTGCCCCACCATCCCCAAAGTCCCCAAGATGTCCCCAAGATCCCTGGTCACATCAACGCCCCAGTATCCCCAAGGTCCCCAGTCAACCCAGTGCCCCACCATCCCCAAGGTCCCCAAGATGTCCCTAACGTCCCCGGTCACCTCAACACCCCAACACCCCCATTGTCCCCAAGATGTCCCCAAGGTCCCCGGTCACCTCAGCGCCCCACCGGTCCCTCCAGCGCAGCCAGCGGTGCCGGTCGCGGCTGTAGCGCAGCCGGTAGGCGCGGGCGAACTCCCTGCCGTGGCCACCGGCGTGACGTCCCTGTGTCCCCACCAGTGTCACCAAGTACAGCCGACCCAGGTCCACCTCCAGGAACTCCTCCTCCTCTGGGAAGACGGGACCCGCGGGACACCAGGCACCGTCCCCATCGCTGCGACCCAGCCTGGGGACAAGGGGACGTCCTGGGGACACCTGGGGGCACCAGGTGCTGTCCCCATCGCTGTGGCCCAGCCTGGGGACACGGGGACGTCCTGGGGACACCAAGGATGTGGGGACACCTGGGGGCACCAGATGCTGTCCCCATTGCTGTGGCCCAGGCTGGGGACATGGGGATGTTCTGGGGATGTGGGGACACCTGGGGACACCCAAGGGACATGGGGACATCCTAGGAACAGCGAAAGGACATGGGGACACCCAAGGTACTTGGGGGCAGCCAGGGGACATGGGGACACCTGAAGAACGTGGGGACACTTGGTAAATGGGGACATCCTGGGGACACCTGGGGGAACACATTGACATTGTGGGGACACCCAGGGACTTCTGGGGGCACAGGGACACCTGGGGACATGGGGACACCCAAGATACTTGGGGACACCCAGGGACTTCTGGGGGCACAGGGACACCTGGGGACATGGGGATGTTCTGGGGATGTGGGGACACCTGGGGGCACCAGGTGGCCCAGGCTGGGGACATGGGGATGTTCTGGGGATGTGGGGACACCTGGGGGCACCAGGTGGCCCAGGCTGGGGACATGGGGATGTTCTGGGGATGTGGGGACACCTGGGGGCACCAGGTGGCCCAGGCTGGGGACATGGGGATGTTCTGGGGATGTGGGGACACCTGGGGGCACCAGGTGGCCCAGGCTGGGGACATGGGGATGTTCTGGGGATGTGGGGACACCTGGGGGCACCAGGTGGCCCAGGCTGGGGACATGGGGATGTTCTGGGGATGTGGGGACACCTGGGGGCACCAGGTGGCCCAGGCTGGGGACATGGGGATGTTCTGGGGATGTGGGGACACCTGGGGGCACCAGGTGGCCCAGGCTGGGGACATGGGGATGTTCTGGGGATGTGGGGACACCTGGGGGCACCAGGTGGCCCAGGCTGGGGACATGGGGATGTTCTGGGGATGTGGGGACACCTGGGGGCACCAGGTGGCCCAGGCTGGGGACATGGGGATGTTCTGGGGATGTGGGGACACCTGGGGGCACCAGGTGGCCCAGGCTGGGGACATGGGGATGTTCTGGGGATGTGGGGACACCTGGGGGCACCAGGTGGCCCAGGCTGGGGACATGGGGATGTTCTGGGGATGTGGGGACACCTGGGGGCACCAGGTGGCCCAGGCTGGGGACATGGGGATGTTCTGGGGATGTGGGGACACCTGGGGGCACCAGGTGGCCCAGGCTGGGGACATGGGGATGTTCTGGGGATGTGGGGACACCTGGGGGCACCAGGTGGCCCAGGCTGGGGACATGGGGATGTTCTGGGGATGTGGGGACACCTGGGGGCACCAGGTGGCCCAGGCTGGGGACATGGGGATGTTCTGGGGATGTGGGGACACCTGGGGGCACCAGGTGGCCCAGGCTGGGGACATGGGGATGTTCTGGGGATGTGGGGACACCTGGGGGCACCAGGTGGCCCAGGCTGGGGACATGGGGATGTTCTGGGGATGTGGGGACACCTGGGGGCACCAGGTGGCCCAGGCTGGGGACATGGGGATGTTCTGGGGATGTGGGGACACCTGGGGGCACCAGGTGGCCCAGGCTGGGGACATGGGGATGTTCTGGGGATGTGGGGACACCTGGGGGCACCAGGTGGCCCAGGCTGGGGACATGGGGATGTTCTGGGGATGTGGGGACACCTGGGGGCACCAGGTGGCCCAGGCTGGGGACATGGGGATGTTCTGGGGATGTGGGGACACCTGGGGGCACCAGGTGGCCCAGGCTGGGGACATGGGGATGTTCTGGGGATGTGGGGACACCTGGGGGCACCAGGTGGCCCAGGCTGGGGACATGGGGATGTTCTGGGGATGTGGGGACACCTGGGGGCACCAGGTGGCCCAGGCTGGGGACATGGGGATGTTCTGGGGATGTGGGGACACCTGGGGGCACCAGGTGGCCCAGGCTGGGGACATGGGGATGTTCTGGGGATGTGGGGACACCTGGGGGCACCAGGTGGCCCAGGCTGGGGACATGGGGATGTTCTGGGGATGTGGGGACACCTGGGGGCACCAGGTGGCCCAGGCTGGGGACATGGGGATGTTCTGGGGATGTGGGGACACCTGGGGGCACCAGGTGGCCCAGGCTGGGGACATGGGGATGTTCTGGGGATGTGGGGACCCCTGGGGACACCCAAGGTACTTGGGGGCAGCCAGGGGACATGGGGACACAGGGGACACGGAGGGGACACGGGGACGTCCTGGGGACACCAAGGATGTGGGGACACCTGGGGGCACCAGATGCTGTCCCCATTGCTGTGGCCCAGGCTGGGGACATGGGGATGTTCTGGGGATGTGGGGACACCTGGGGACACCCAAGGGACATGGGGACATCCTAGGAACAGCGAAAGGACATGGGGACACCCAAGGTACTTGGGGGCAGCCAGGGGACATGGGGACACCTGAAGAACGTGGGGACACTTGGTAAATGGGGACATCCTGGGGACACCTGGGGGAACACATTGACATTGTGGGGACACCCAGGGACTTCTGGGGGCACAGGGACACCTGGGGACATGGGGACACCCAAGATACTTGGGGACACCCAGGGGACATGGAGACGCTTGGAGGGCATGGGGACATCATGGGGACACCCAGGGAACATGGGGACACTTGGCAAATGGGGACATACCGGGGACACCTGGGGGAATGCAAGGACATTGGGAGGGGACACCCAGGGACATTGGGACATCTGAAGATACAGGGGCACTCAAGGGACATGGGGACACCCAGGAGGACAGAGGGACCTGGGGACACCCGAGAACATGGGGACACATGAGGATACAGGGATGCCCAGAGGACATGGGGACACTCAGGAGGACAGAGGGACCTGGGGACACAGGAGGGGACACAGGGGTGGCACCAGGAGGGGACACTGGGCCATACTGGGCCATACTGGGCCACACTGGGACTCCTTGGCCACAGCAGGCAGTGGTGGCTCTGGGTTGGGGACACTGCAGGGCCCTGGGAGGGGACACTGGGTGGGGTGGAGGGGGGTACTGGGCCATACTGGTGTGTACTGGTGCGTACTGGGCTCACCGGCCGTGGCGGGCGGCGGTGGAGTCGGACCAGGCGCTGGAGGCCGAGAGGTGGCTGTCGGGGATGGAACCGTCCTCCATGCCCAGGGCGAAGCGACACCTGCCTGGGGGACACGGGGGACATTGGGGACACATTGGGGACACAGAGGGATGTGGGGGACATTGGGGACGTGGGGGACACAAAGGAGACATTGGGGACGTGACAAACATGGGGGACATGGGGGACATTGGGACATGGAGAGAACGTGAAGACATTGAGGACACGACAAACATGGGGAACAC